GGGAACTCTGCAAAAAACGCATCTTCGCACGGGCAGCCCGTGCGTTGGCCATTTATTTTTTTTTATCAAGTTAATACTGTTTTTGCCAGATCGCTGATGCTGTCACAGATTTTTTCATCATTTCATTATGAAATTACTTATTGACTGCGATAGCCTGAATGAAGTCTGAGGAGCTGAATGATGTTTTCATGAATTCTTCCGATGTTTCCATGAAGTTTCACTTTTTCTTTGAAAGTTCTTTTGAGCGTATGGCCTTTTTTTTATAGCTGAATGATCCAGTCCGGGAGGAGGAGTGTTTCATTTTGTGCCAGACGTAAACATGGATTTATTGGTGTGCCTTTTCCCCTGGCCCATACTCTTTATAAAAGAGGTTGTGTTCTCAACAGTGTTCGAAAAAAAAAAAAAAAAAACCAAAATTTTCATTCTGGCTCAAGTTATCTGTGTTGCAGCCGCCATTTTCCGGTGAAGACGAGGAAGAAATTTTTGATTCAATTGTAAACGATGATGTGCGCTATCCGCGTTTTCTCTCCATTGAGAGTATCTCAATCATGCGGAGAGTACGTTTAGTTACATTTCTTTTTTCAGCTCATGCAGCATTTATTTACCCTTCCACACACGATTCGTCATCGCGGCCACTGAAATGCCTGCGTGAAATTTAAGTTCGCCTCCAGAATTGCCAGAACCGTTAGACATGCAGCAGGCAGTTTAGACCCGCGCTTTTTGCTGGCATTTTATTGGTGGTCCTGGTCTTCGTTGGCTTCCAAGGAGATTCTCGGCGAAAACTCTTCTGAATTACAAAAGGCAGAAAAGCATTTCTTTTGTGTTTTAAATTTTGTTAAGACTTTCTTGCTAGAATTAAACGTCCTGTTGTTTTCCAGCTGATGCGAAAAAATCCGGAGAAGCGACTCGGCGCCGGGCAAAATGACGCTATGGAAGTTAAGCAGCAGCGATTTTTCAAGGTTTTTTTTTCCTTCATATTTTGTTAAGTTGCTCGTTGCTGATTACACGAATTAATCTGAACTGAAATTGCCTTTCCTTATTGTGCCTCTTCGTGTGGGTGAAATTTTTTTGAATTCGTATAATTCTTTTAATTATGCATGCAATTACGTTTTCTACGTCAAAAATCTGTAATATCTGTAGTAGGCGGATGAGACCTATGAACTTTTCTGTTTATAAATTTCCTCAAAAGCGCTGTAGTTACTTCATCACATTAGGGTAATTTCTCGTGGTTAAGGAAAGTAGCTGAATTTTCCTTATGCTTCTGTTTGAAGGTTTTTATTTTTTAATCATAATTTGTTTCAGCATGTTAATTGGGACTGGGAAAGATTGTTGAAGAAAGAAATCAGGCCAAAATTTGTCCCGCAAATTGTAAGTTTACTGTTATAATTGGGCTGTTTCCGTCTTTGAAAACTGAATTCCATTAGAATTTGTCCTACTTCCTTTCCGAGCCCGAGACCGATTTTCAAGCGTTGTCTCTGCTTATACTGATTCAAGACGATGCATCTTTTTCTTAGTGATGGACAAATAAAATTTTTTTTTTTGAATTCGTACGAGCTTCTGTTGAATTCTGCGTCCGTCGTATACAAAACTGGGCTTAGTGGCTTCGTTTAGAAGTGCATCTTCACTGGTCGTAATGAGATTAACATATTTTTTTAAAAAAAAAGACAGCCTGGAGAGTCGGCTTGAGCACTCCATATTTGCTGGTCAAATTAAATATATCTTCAGTCTCTTTGATATCAGCATTTTCTGCCGTCTAGCCGCAGCCTATCGCCGATTTGCATCATTTTCGTTCTGGATGCGTAAATTTTGTGTCAACTTCCATAAGTGTATGCGGAAATTATCTAGAGCTCATGAACAACAAATTAAATGAATGCAAAAGCTTTACGGAATGTTTATTCAACTTTTTTTTAGAAGAATCCGGAGGATGTGAGCAATTTTGATGATGAATTTACGAAAGAGACGCCACGATTTTCATCAGCGAAAGATAAGCGAAAGATTACCGAATCTGACCAAATGCTCTTCAAAGATTTCGACTTCTCTTCGTTTGATTAGAAGAAAGAAAACGATTTATTTGTTGGATGTTCATTTATTTATCAATTTTTTAGGAGCCGACGAAGTGCCTTCTTTTTAAATGTGGATAATTTTTTTTTTTTTTAATAAATAAAGGAATTAAAAAGTTGAAGAAAGAACGCAGTTTATTATCTTTAGTAATTTAATTTTCGAAAGTGAGAGGGAGAGATTTAAGGGCTAAAACAGAATTTTCGTGGTGCTACAGAGTTAAACTTTAATTTTTCATTTATATTTAATGTTTTAAAGCAGCAAGCCTATGCATTTCCAACTGCTTTACAAGCCGCTTTTCAATGCTTATTTCCAATATTTCGGTTTTGCTGTTGAGCTTGGGGTAATTTTATTATTCTTGCTTTTCCCTAGTGCGCTTTTATTTTAACACCAGAATGCCACTCGAAATATCGTTATGTTTTGTAATGCCTTATCTGTTACTCATAACGACTGCTTTACCTGAAATATTTTTAGTACCATTACCGTCCTATCTTTTTTTTCCTTCCTCTTTTCCCACTTTTTTTGCTCCTGCTCTCTGTCCCACTTTCTCGATTTTCACAGTGAAATTTCCATTTTCTAACGAATAAATTGCATTTTTTTAAATCTTACAAATTTCTGAGTCAATTTTTTCTCAAAATGTATCTAAACTGCAGAAAAATGACTTTAAATTTTTCATTCCTCTCTGGTTAAAGCATTTCATTTTCTTGAAAAATTTTGTCTAAGTTTTGTTCTCTTTTGCATCTACAACTGCCGACTGCGACAGGTAAGGATGCATTCGTAACGCTGCTGTAGTTTTTGTTGTTTAGGGAAAAATTGTACTTGCAAAACAGGTCCGCTCTTGTGGCCGGAGTAAATTTTTGTCTTGGTATCATCTAAAGGATAGGACTAGTGGGGAGAATTGAGAGGGGAGTAAGCAAATGAGTTATCCTGAAAATTTGCTGCAATTTCTGCTGGAACGAACCTGTTTGCATGAAATTTTACTTCATTTTTGTTGCAGGATTACGCAGTGGTAGCTCATTTTAGCATTTTTTTTAAACAACGATTTTTTGCTTTCTTGTGATATTTATGTTCAATATAACAAACGTGTGATAACTTTATCGTCATTTTAGTGAAATAGTTTATAAAAATATGCCTCCAAATGGATAATCACCAATTCAAACGAAATTTGTCGAAGTCTTATACGAATGACTGAATGATAACATTACTGAGAGCTGAGAAGCCAAAATCTCCTTATTTGCTCTTTATGAGAGGTAGATGCACTCGGAGAGTTGTCGAAGCGGTAGCGTTTGGCAGCAGTAACCGCATCCTGGCAAAACTGATGATGATTCTGCTGTAGAAACAAGCAGGTGACAGTTGTCTGAGATTTAATAGTCTTTTATTCGCATTCCAGAACCCCAGTGTTTAAGTGGTAGTCCTTCAGTGTTTTGCCGTCTTTTTTTTCTTTTTCCTCTTTTTTTTCGCCGTTCATGATTAGATGGTGATTTGAAAAACCGATGAGGTACCGTTGAAGACCAAAGAGTGATAAAGAAGTGGCATTGGAGGCAAGCGACGTGCTCGTTTTATTCAGTATTTGTGCCGATATGTAATTTTTTTTTTTTTTTTTGTTCCAGTAAATAAAGTTTAAATCTTACTTAGACTGGGAAACTTTATTGTATGAAGTTCTAGAACTGGTCAGTTCCGGCTTTTGTTTTCTCTTATATTTCGTCATAACTCTTGTCATCGCAGGCAGCTTGCTAATTACTACTTATCAGGGGTCGGGAATTTCACAGTATCGCGATGCTCCAAAACATTTGCTCGGTCTGCAGGTCATTCGCATCACCACAACAAAGACACTATTATATGGTTACGAAGCGTGATCATTGACGAAAGCAGAAGCGAGTACTCTAGCTGACATTGACCGGGACAGGTGAGCGTTGTGCCTCACAAATAACTATGACTGGAATACACGACCAATGTCTTAATCGCATGTGGTCATGTCCTATCCTACTGTTTGTCTGGGTTTTGTTTCATCAGCGCAGCGGTTCTCACTTGGTAGGACTGTAGTAGCTCGGGTAGGCAGTCTGTGGGGGGACATTTTTTTTGAGAGCTGCATGGTAGTATGCACTTTTTTGTCTGCTGATAAGAATTTTGAAGCAAATGATCATCATGTTTTGATATGTTCAGGGAAGATGTCGGCAGAGCCTGCACATGTCGATGAATTGGCCGAGCATCCAAAGAAAATTGGCATAAGGGTAAGAATAGAAGACATTTAACGGGAATTGGAATAATGCATACCGGAATGCAAAGATTTCAATGCAAAGATTTCAAATTCAAATTCGAAAATATGGTCGTGCATCCTTACCCAAAGCTTTAGTGAGTATCAGTTGGATGAATAAGCGGTACATACAGATAATAACTTTTCGAGGAAGCTCATCCCTTTTCTTGGAAAATTTCAAATTCTTTAATTTGTCTAGTAGTACCTGCAGATGAATAAATGTTTATAAACCGCCGGTCAACTGGAATCCTTAATTCAAAGTTAGTTTCTCCTGCTTCGGCTAGTTTCTTCTAGATTTACAGAAATTTGTTTGTGTTATCGGTCGAGTTCAGACTGATTTATTTCTCCTTGGAGAATGAGTCCCCTAGTACTATATCCTTTGATCTTACTGGTTTTTTTTTCGTATCAAAAAATAACTTTTAATTTAGGTATGCGAACAGGGCTGGTGTTACCTAGACTTATTTGGAAATTTTCTTTGAAAAGTTTAAGCCTTTTTTTTTTT